ACTATACACTGTGCATATGTTGAGAGACCCTGCTGCTACCACTAGCTGCCGAATTGGATTCTGTGCAGTTCTTGCTTCTCAGGATCACTAGATTCAAAGTCTGGAATGGGTATGCCTTATTGGTATCTCTTGGATTATTTGCCCAAGCCCTAGTTTTCTGGAAGGTTGGAAAGATGAAAATCTGGTGTTTTCAGCTTCTACCAAACTCATAAGCTGAGAGATATTCTCCAAAGAAGAGTTCATTCATGGCTTGACTTCCTTGGTAGATATTTTTGACCACATTGCATTAGGAGTTGGCAAAGTATGGTCTGGGGGCCAAATTAGCCTACCAACTAGTCTATAAATAAAGTTTTATTGGAATGCCACCACACTCATTCATTTACTTACTTTTTTGTTGGTTATTTTCATGCTACAAAGGCAAAATTAAGTAGTTGTGACAAAAACCACATGGCTAGAAAAATATAGAATATATACTATTTGGCACTTTGTAGAGAAAGTTTGCCAATCTCTGATAGAAATAATGCTAGTATTTCTATTCAGGTCCATTCAGTTATCATTTATAGATGCTGTTGGAGAACTTCATGTGGCCAAATTCCTTACTGAAGTAAGGAAATTGGAGGCAAACAATGGGGCACACTTTCAGATATTTAAAGAAGGGCTTTTAGAATCTAAAGTTGATAAACTTTGTCAGCCTCTCTCTTCAGATCAAGAACTGAAGAACCATATATGTATTTTAAAATTTGTGAGTTATATTCTCATTTAGACTTTAAAATTGAAAAGTGAATTCCTAATTCTTAGCTATTCATGGCATCAACAGTGATGTAGCAAAGATGTCCGTCCTTGAGAACAGAGTAAATTATATGACAAATTCAGTCAAGCATCTCAGAAAAATTCTGTGGGTCCTCGACACTGGCCTATCCTTGTCTCGCAGGTCAAGTTATGAGAGGTCTAATTCTGTTTGCCATAACATAACATTTATGTGTTATAGTTTTTAGAACTTGTTTGACACTAAAACAAAATTGTCTTGAAGCTAAAAATAACAAGTACATTTCCAGAGAGCAGGCCTTTTGTAGATGTCTGGCCATGTTATGATGACTCTTAAAGGGTTGGGCCCCAGCAGCAGTGTTTGTGGTATATGGTCACACTTACTCTGGCCATTGTTTTGAAAGTCTTAGCTCAATAAGGCAAAAATAAACAAACAAAACAAACAAAAAAACCCATAGACTGGGAGGAAGAATTAATACTATAATTCATAAGAGGTAGTATATATGTAGAAAATCCATAGAATCCACGAATTATGAGATTTATTAAGGTTATAGTATACATCCTAAACTTATCACAATCTACCATCAAGTAATATTATACTACACTTATAGTTTAAGAACTTTATAACAGAATACTTCTATTTTTACCTCCTGGCCTTTGTGTTGTTTGTTTTCCTTGTACATGTATTATAAACCCCACAATATGTTGTCTTTGTTGTTTGTTGCTTTAGACAGTTTTCTTTTAAATAGTTTGAAAAAAGATTTATATTCACCCATGTAGTTACCATTTTCAGTTCTCTTCATTTCTTTGTGTAGATCCAAATTTCCACCTGGTATTGTTTTCCTCCTTTATGAAGTACTTTTAACATTTTTTTCCTGTAGAGCAGGTATGCTGGTAATTAATTCATTCAGCCTTTATATGTGAAAAATATTTTGCCTTCGTTTTTTGAAAGATGTGTTGACTGGGAATAGAATTCTAAGTTTATATGTATATTTTTTCTTTTCTCGCTGGATTGTGTTGTTTCAAGAATCTTTGTTACTGTGGAGTTTTGTTCTTTCTCTAATTGCTTTTACAGTTCTCATTTTTTTAAGCAATTATAATGTGCTTTGGTATTGTTTTTTCATATTTCTTGTGCTTGAGTTTTATTGAGCTATATGATGTGTGAGCTTATAATTTTCATCAAAGATTTTCCATTATTTTTAAATAGTTTTTTTTTTTTTTCCTCTTTCTCTCTCCCACAGTGAACAGTGACTTTTTGTTAGGCTGCTCAAAGTAGTCCCATAGCTCCTTGGTGCTCTGTTCAAACTTTTTCCATTTTTTTCATTTGTGTTTTTGATCTCTATTCTTGTGTCTTAAGATTTGTTAATCTTTTCTGCAATGTCTAATATGCTAGTCGTCTCACTCAATGTATTCTACATCTCAGATATTGTTTTCATGTCTGGAATTTTTTAAATGTCTCTTCTTATATGCTTAATCTTTTTTGTATCTTCCTGAACATGTGGAATATGTTCCGTGTGAACATATGGAATATAGTTTTAATAAGTTTGTCAATGTCTTTTCCTACTAGTTCTATTAGCTATATAATTACTGAGTCAGTTTTGATTTCTCCTCATTATGGGTAATTTTTTCCCGCTTCTTTGCATACTTGGTAAGTTTTGATTGAATATCAGAAACTGAGTTTTACCTCTTTATATGCTGGATTTTTTTTTTTTTTTCCTATAAATGTTATTTGGCTTTATCTGAGACACAAGTAATTTGGAAATCATTTGATCCTTTCAGGCCTTTTTTTGAGCTATGTTATGTAGTCTGTGGTTAATTTTGCCCCAATACTGAGTTCAAAGCCTTCTGAGAACTCCACTAAATGTACTGTGAATTATGAGATTTTCCACTTTGCCTGGTAAACTGGAACTCTTCCTGTTCCTCTGTGAGTTTTGGGTCTTGTTCTCTCTAATCCAGGATGTTTGAACCTCAAAACTATTGACATTTTGACCCATATATTCCTATATTTTGGGGCCTTGTCCTGAACATTATAGAATGTTTAGCAGCATCTCTGGCTTCTAGTCACTTTATGCTAGTAGCACCCCTCCCCGCTAAATGCGACAACCCAAAATGTGTCAGACATTGCTCTATCATCAGGGGGAAAAAATCAGTACTAGTTGAGGACCACCACTCTAATGATATTCTTTTGTAGTTGGAATGGAAAAGAATACATTCATCAAATCAATATCTGGAGCTTAACTAATCAATTCCAGCAACAGTAAGTCTGAAACCACAACTGTGACCAGGACTGAAATTTGGTTAAGTCTCTGGTAGTCTGCAGTCATTTTTTAGGATCCATCTGCTTTCTGCAGATGATATATGCTATGTAACGGGGACCATCACCCTTGCATAATTTAAGTCTTTACTAGTGGCACTAGTCTGCTCTTCTTTGCCCCTCTGGAAACAAAATTGTCTTTTATTTACTGTCTTATTCTGGAGAATGGGGCAATTTCAGAGGTTTCCACTTGGTTTTTTCCACTATGGCAGCTTTTACCACATAGGTCATGGACCCATTGTGGGGGTTATTCTCACTTGTAGAGGTTAATATAAATTCTAATTATAAACTCAGGGAGTGAAAAGAGACTGTTGGGTGGGTCTGCAGGCTCAGTGAGCCCACTGTGAGTTAGACTTTTGCCAGGACTCTGTTATCTCAATTCAGAAGATTTTGGCTGGGAGATGGTTTCTTTTGCCTCACAGAATCTCGACTAGGATCGTTCTCTTAGTTCCGTTCAGCTGATAGCTGGACTGGTCTAAGAAGGGGTTCACTTACATGTCTGGTGCCTTGGTGCTGTTCTTTGTCGCTTTTCTCTGTCAGTGAGGCTAGCTCGGGCTTCCTCACAGCAGTGGTGCTCACAGGATACTAGAATCTTAGATTTCCACAGTCTCATTTCTGCTATATTCTTTTGGTCAGAACAAATCACAAGACCAACCCAGATCCTCGGGGAGGGCACACAGATTCCAATTTTTGGTGGGGGAATGATAAGGTCCCATTGCAAAAGAACATAGAAGATAAGAAATATCATTGTAGCCATCTTGGGAAATACAGTTTATCATATCACTACTCCATCTGCTGTCTTCCAGAATTTTATAGACCTGTCTCATTTGCTGTGGTTTCCTCTTTTAATCTATTCTTCCTTTTAAAAAATACTTCAAAAAGCTTTTTAACTCTCAGGATTTTGCAGAGATATGTGGTCATTGAATCCATCACTTGTAATCTTTGGAACCAAAGATTATTGCTGTTTTTGACCCTATGTTGTCTTATTAACTTATTGGAAAGCAAGTTGTCTTAGGCGTCTTTTCATTTCTACTTTCTGTGATCTGATAATTGTCTTGGCCAGTTGCATATCAAAGCAGGACAGCAATGTTTGGGAGCAGTGTGCTCTGGTATTAAGGCATTATTCCTTATAAGAGAATAAGGAGATACATTTTATGTAGAGAGTTTAGATTTGTTTATAATCACCATGCACCAACATTCTTCATAGCATCAGTGGCAGAATGCTTTTTTGTGTCAGTAATTGGGACTGTTCTCACATTCTTCTTTTGCTATGCCACTGCTCTTAGCTGAAGTTATACTGTATTATTCTGGGGTTTTTAATACCTGGTTATCTGAATGAGGGCTAGAAAAAGGTTCCCTACTACCTCTTCCACAGAGTGAACAGGATTATCTCATTGGACTTTTTTTTATTTTTAGTGGTAGATCATTACCACTTTGAGTCCTTTTACAAAAAGATTTTTTAGGGTCATACTTTAAGAGGGATATTGACAAACTGGGCCATCTCCAGAGGAGGGCAGCTAGGATGCTTAAAGATTTGGAACCTGCAAATACTGAGGCTCTGTAATCTGGAGGGAAAAAACCAACAAAGTCAGATTTAAAACATAACTGTTTTCAAGTACTTGGAGGTCACCGAAGAAGAAAGGTTACATCTGTTTAGAAATGAAATAGACTTTCATATGAAACAGTGAGTTTTTAATTTCTGGCATTGTTTGCATAGAGGCCATCAGCCATATTGAAGAGGGGTTGCTGTGTGAGTTGAGGGAGTTCTCTACCTTTTCACATCGGATAATTCAGAGATTTTTATGATTTCTATTAACAGTTCTGTCATAAATGATCGTTAGCTTAAAATGAGAATTATGGGGGTATCATTACATTTTTAAAAGTTTATTAGGAAAATAATCAGATCTTTTTTATTCTGCAGGACCTAAATACTATTTATTCTTATCTTCATGGGATGGAAATATTATCAAACCTCAGAGAACATCAGCTTAGGTAAGTGTAATGCTTTGTTTATGAACATGTGCTATGGAGTTATTCAAATGAGTTTGGATAGATGCAACGGCTAAATCTTTTCGGTTTTTTTGGTAGGATAAACGTAGAATTTTCATTTCTCAACCTAGTTTTTCTTAGCCATGGGACCTTGAGCAAGTCTTAATATGTAAGCTGTAGTTTTGTCTTCCATAAAATAGGGATAATAAGATTATTTTTGTTAGTGTTTTGAGGATTCAATGAAAATGCAGTTAACCCTTGAATAACTTCATGGTTGGGGCACTGGACCCCACGCAATTGAAAATCCAATTATAACTTTTGACTCCCCAAATATGTAACTACTAGTAGCCTGTGTAACTACTTAGAAGCCTTACTGTTATGTAAGCAGTCAGTTAACACATATTTTGTATGTTATATATATTATATACTGTAGTCTTACAAAGAGAAAGCTAAAGAAAAAGATGTTATTTAGAAAATCATAAGGAAGAGAAAATACATTTACTTGTTGAAAATAAATCCACGTATAGTGTTTGCTTCAGCAGCACATATACTAAAATTGGAAAAAAATCCACATGTAACTGGACCTGGGCAGTTCAAACCTGTGTGGTTCAAGGGTCAGCTGTAATGATCTAAAGCAAACACAGTGTTCAGTATGTGCTGGCCAGTGAAAACAAAACTTCTTTTTGTAGTTCCTATTGATATTTACCATATCACATACTTAAAATGGGCATGGTACGATGTAGTGTTGTATTAAAGTAGAAAGAGCAGGATTCTGGATTTGGTTTAAGTGCCCATGGACAAGACCCATAAACTCTTTGAACTTCATTTTCCTATTCCGTAAATAAATTTTCTCTCCTACCTTTTATCATTGTGATTATATTTGTAAAAAACACTTTTGAGTTTTGTAATGCTCTATAGTAACTTTGTTTAACATTTTAATTAAAATGTGTTTTCCTTCCATGACCAGCTTATCTATCACTTTTTCTGACTGTTCTTTAAGTTTAGCTTATGGCCCAGGTTGCTAAAATATAATTGTTTGGGATTTATTATATCCTGTTTTCTGTAAAACATAATTTAGATGTTTGTATATATCAAATAAAAAAGAAAACTGAAAATGAAAGCATTTAGTAATACTAAAAGTATTTTTTAAATGCAAGCAAATTTATATACTTACTCAATAGTTTGTTTATGCCTCTGCCAATAACTCTTCTTCACATGAGGATTTAGTGTGACTCAGACAAATCTATATTTTTTATATTAAAAAAGAACATTATTTAAAGTGAATTAACAGATGATAGGATGTACATAAGAGTACTATACTTGTTGCCACTTAATATCTGATTGTGTTTTTGAAAATGTTGTATTTAATGTATATGTTTCTAAATGCTTATAGTTTAGTGATAAATTTAGTGGTAGATCTGATTAAAACTTTTACTTTTTTTAATATTTTAGATTAATGTCTGCAAGAGCACGCTATGAGAGATACAGTGGCAATCAAATTCTATTTTGGTAAGTATTTCTGTAATTAGCTTAAATTAATTGCTTTAATATTTAAATTTTGACTTCTAACTTTGAAATTCATTTGATTCTGTAACATTTTCTGTAGAGCAGATTGAAATGTTTTCATGAACCGTGAAGTATAACAGATATAGAGTGCACAAAAGGTGTAGAGTGGGACAAAGTTTAATAAATATATACACCTGTGTAACTCCTACCCAGATGAACATACAGAACATATCAGCTCTCCAGAAGGCTCTAGTCAACTCTGTTGGAAAGATAATCCAGTTCTGACTTCTGTCACCGTAGATTAGTTTTGCCTCTCTCTGAATGTCATATAGATAAGTCTTTTAGTCAGACGTTTTTTACTTCACACATGTCTGAAATTCTTCCATGTTTTTGCATTCATTCTTTTTTACTGCTTTAAAGGATACAGTTGTATGAAAATGATAATTCATTTGTCCTTTCCACTATTTATAAATATTTAGGTTATTTTCAGTTTTTTGCTATCATGAATAATAAAGTTTCTTTAAACATTTTGTTTACGTCTTCTTGTGTCCTAATTTACTCATTCCTTTTGGGCATATTCTTAGGAATAGAATTATTGGAAACGCACATGCTCAAATTTAGGATATTCTAACATTAGAATCTAACATGTGCATTTATTTTGTTATCCCATTGTGACTTTATTTTCCATTTCTCTGCTTACTGATGATGGTGAATGATTGTCGTGTTCTTATAGGCTTTTTGGATAGTTCATTTGTGAAATCTCAATTCAAGGTTTTGACCATTTTTTAATTGGGTTGTATGTCTTATTTCTATTGATTTGTAGAAATTCCTTTTGAATTCTGTATCCAAGTCCTTTGTTGTGTACTTATGTTGCATATATCCTCTCCCACTCTGTGTCTTTCTATTAATGGCATCTTTGGAAGAAGAGAAATTCCCAGCTTTCTCAGTTTTCCCCCTTGTGATTAGTGCTTTCCATGTCTAGTTAAGAACTAAAATCTGTCACTTCCTCAAGATTATGAAGACATTCTTCTCTTTTTTCCTTCTAAAAGTTTTGGCAGCAGTGACCTTTTATTATATAGATTCAACTGGTATGTATGAATGGTATTGACTTTCATGTCTCATTACCTGCACATTGCATATATCATCATTTCTAAAGTATTTACATGATTCATATGGGTCTTAATAGCTACATTCATTCATTTGTTGATCCATTCATTCATTGTTATTAAATGTCTGCTATACATTATGCTTACCCTGGTATAGAATGGTGGGAAGACAGTATTTGTCTTATTGAGCTTATCGTGTAGTGAGGTGGGGAGAGAGTTAATTAAAATAGTTACACATATTTAAGTGCAACCAAAGGAAAGTATAGCTATATAGATTATTGGAACAGAATTGAGAGCCCAGAAATAAACCCTTAGATTTATGAACAGTTCTGTTTTTTAAAAATGACCTGTAGCTAAGATCTGTGCACAGTGTGGTTATAACATGGTTGAGGATTTAAAAGGAACCACCAACAAATAGTTTATTTTTGATGAAGGTGCTAAAGAATTTCAATAGAGAAAGCATAGTTTCTTCAACAAATGGTTCTGAGTTAATTGAATTTTTACATGCAGAAAGTTAATTTAGACCCTTACCATAACACCATATATGATAATTAATGATATATCACTTTATACCCATTAGAATAGCTACAGTCAAAAAGGCAGACAGTCATAGTTTTTGGCGAGGTTATGGTGACACCTAGAATCTTCATATATTGGTTGTGAGGATGTTAAATGGTATAGCCACTTTAGGAAACAGTTTTGCAGTTTCGTTAAAAGTTAAAACAGTTTTACCCATATGACCCAGTAATTCTACTTTTACGTATTTACCCAAGAGAAATGAAAATAATTATGATACAGAGACTGTACACAAATGCTTTTAGTAGTACTTTTTGTACTAGCCTAAAACTGGAAACAATCAAAATGTCCAATGAATAGATAAATAAAATTCTGTATATTTGTATAGTGGATTATTATTTGGCAATAAAAAGGAATAAAGTACTTATATACTCTCCAGCAAGGACAGACCTCAAAAACATTATGTTAAGTGGAAGAAGATAGAAACACCACACATTATGTGATCCCATTCATATGAACTGTCCGAGAAAGACAAATCTATAGAGACAGAACAGATTATTGGTTCTGTTTGGAACAGATTATTGGAGGCAGGGATTGACTGCAAACAAAGCATAAGAAATCTCTTTGTGATGATAGAAATGTTCTAAAATTGGATTTTGTTGTTTGCACAGTTCTTATAAAAAACCAGAGTGTTCAAGTGCCATGGGCAAAGAGGAGGACACAGCAAGAGGGAGGAGCCTGGAGTTGCAGGTGGAGGCTACCTTAAGAGTTTTTGGTCTTTATTTTAGGAGCATTGCCTTTGAAGGAGTAAAATCTGACAAGATTAAGTATGTCTCCCTTCTCTGGGCTAGATTATTCTTGGATTCATTTGCTTACAAAGAAAAAGGAGATAGCAGGGCCCCACCTTAAAGAGTTTCACTTTCCTTGTGTGTGCTTATCATCTGCATTGTCAAACTATGCCCTTGAGAGTGGAATTCTTTGCAAGATCTGAACAGTTTCTGATTTATAAGCTGGCATGGTTCTCTTGGTGGTAGGAGAGAACTTCAGGATTTTTCCTGAATTTCAGTGGAATTTACTGACAGCATTGTGACTGCTTCGGCCAAATGAGATAAAATTGGAGGCTTGTCCTGGCATCCAGTTAAAACTTTCTTCTGCCTTAATTTTGGGCAGATTTTTCCCTTACTGATCTTGTTCCCTCTTGATTTTGTAAATTATATTCAAAAGAGTAAGGAAGTGGGATTTCTAAACAACTTAAGTAGGAATTTTGCAGCCATTTGCATCTTCCCTTGATGAAGATAGGAAGGGATATAAAGAACTTGAAAGCACCTACTGAAAAGTTGACAATTTTTCCTTCTCATGGTAAGCAATAGGATCAACCCAAAAAGCTTACCCTGGGTGCTATGTGGAATGGTTTGGAGGCCTAGGTTTCTGGATGGAGAATTCTACTGTTTATTGAGGACAGAGAATACTAGAAAAGATCCAAGCTTGAAGAAAATGATAGGTCAATTTTGAATATGTTTAATTTGAGTTACCTGTTAGACATACAAGTTGACATGTTAAGTAGACAGCCAGATATACAGTTTTATAAGTATTAGAATCCTTCACATATACAGTTGAAGCCTTAGGTATGGTAAATAAAGATATTTGAGAGAAAGACAGAAAGGTTAGTTTGGATTATAAACTAGCATCTAATAAGATTCTGAGTTTCCTTTGGAGATTTAAGTGAACTAAAATGCTGATGGACTTAAGTCATCTGATATTCTTTTTATTTTATCCTTCAAACAATAAAATGAGAGATTAGGTAGACATATATTAATGTCAGAATAAAATTTAAAAGAAATGAAATCATCGTGATCCAAATTATAGTTGAAAGTTAAGATGCACCATTGATAAATCTGTGAATTACAAATAATATTGTCTTTAATATACATGTTATCAGAAATAGGATTTTCTAATATGTAGATGCTATACAATATTTAAGTTAATCTTTATCAAATGTGGTGATCCGCTACACAAAAATGAAGAAGGTGAAGTTAATAATATAATTAATAAGACAAAGCTGATGAACATATGCTATTGAAGTCTATATTTTAAGGTAATGATTATACTTTTTCCCATGTGAACATGATCTGTATAAAACCTTAGGCAACAGGTAAAATTTCCCAGTAGTATTATTTAATTTTTAATATTTTACAATATTATTAGAATATATTTCGTGCTGTGTATTTTGTGTTGAATCTGTATACATGTGAATGTGTGTTTTAATTTACTTTTTCCTTTAAACAGTTCAGAAACTATTGCCAGATGTTGGTATATCCTGCTTTCTGGATCTGTGCTTATGAAAGACTCCATGGTCTTGCCTCCTTGCAGGTATGTTTACATTTGCTGCTTAGTGCATGTGGCAGGCAAAGTTAACATTATATCTATTTATTTTATTTCTTACCTTAAACTATTTTATGTAAGATGTGTATCTTCTCTCAGTAGGTGATACATTTTCTAAATGTCTTTACTCGTTGGTAATTGGAAATAATTGGCAGGAATCAACTGATATTTCTTATTTCTGAGAGTGTAATCTTTAAGTTTACACCGTGGCAGAGTATCTTATTCCTATTTGATCTTTAGTTTTCTGTAAGATTTGATCTAGTTTATCTGATGGTTTTTGGGTTCATTGCTATTAATAATTGTAAAGAGGCAATACACCTTAATAGTTAAGAAATTGATTTTTAGAGAAAGGCAAACTGGGTTAGAATCCTGATTTTATCACTTACTAGTTATGTGACTTTGGACAAATTTGGTTTCTTAACTGTAAAATGAGGATAATAATAGTACTTAAGTGCCTTTAGGAAGTTTTGGCAAGCTACTACTCAGAGCTCTCAACAGAAGTCTGTAAAAGTTGACACTCTAGAGCCAGACTGCATGAGTTCATGTCTGTGCTTTACTACTTCTTGGGCAAATTCTTTAATCCCTTTCTGCCTCTTTCCCCTTTTGTAAAATGAGGACAATAATGGAACCTATTTCATAGGCTAGTTTTGAGGAATAAATGAGTTAATACCTAATAAAGCTCTTAGAACAATGCCTGACTATTACAAGTAATTGTTAATTATCACCACCATAATTAGAGAAAAGAAGATAAGGGCGGTTGGAAAGATGGTCAGATGTATAGAGAATTTGTTCTGTCAGCAATTCTTAATATTTTGGGGCCTCAAATTACAATTTGGTGATATAAAAGCAATTTTTAGTGACTTTTTTCCAATATGTTGATATTTTTGGTCTTCTAAAGTAAGACTTCTAATTGTAGCTAAATTAATTTAGTTGCAAAACTGTTCAATTTAAGTATTAAGGTACAGTCTAGTCGATAGATGCTATGGGACATCTTAGTTTTGTTGCCATTTTTAACATCATGTTATGTCTTGAGTACTGAAATGCATGCCTACATCATTGACCTTTGGTTCGATGAAATCTGTGCTTCTTGACTTTAGCAGACTAAAACATTGTTAACTGTTTTTACAAATAAAATCCTTAATAGTTCTTTTATTTACGGAATGGTGCCATATCAGATAGTCAGTGTTGGTCTCTACTGTCAGCAGGTTAGGTATCCAGCAGTAGCATTAACATTGAGGCCCTTTGTATCTCCCATCTGTGCCACATTCATGGGCCCATTGAACAAACACTGGGGTGGGGTGGCAAAAAAAAACCCACAGAGCATATCATTTTGTTTACCTGATTATTAAAAGCCTCCCCTCAGTAGATACCCTTTGGGAATTCATATGGGTGTTCCTATGGGATGCAGATAACTTCAAAGCCTGGCCATTCTGAAAGAAGTCTTTCAAATAAATACCTCTTCCCAGAGTTCTTTGTTACCAGTCTTCTAATCCTGTTCCTTTTAAGTCCCTGACCATTCAACTAAACCAATGATAACTGATCATGAATCTGTTTAGATCAGTAATTTTGGTCCTCTCTCAATCCAGTTTGAACTTTTCTCTAAGTTCTGTTTCCTAGGAGAATTTTCCTTCATTGCCTTACTTCAGGGTCACCTCCAAGTGGGGCTGTCCACCTTAGGGTGGTACCAGCATGTTTTGCAGACTCATCTGTAAAACAGGCTCAAGTATTTTCTCCTCAGTCAGCTGGTCATAAGGAGCTCTCCAAGTAGGCATAGGCACAGATTGCAGTAGAGGAGGCAATGCAACAGGAGTTGGTATTGCAGGAATCTGAGCCACCTCATGCGACTTACTCTGGACCTGGGTAAACTTGGTCTCTTATATACCATATTCATTTGATAATAGGTTGCTACTATTCATGCCCTACCCTATGGCTAGGTATGCACTTCATGATGGGAAGTCAGGCTACATGGTAACCTGATGCCCCATAGTTAGGCATTCAGCCTCTACCATGCCCAGTAGCAAGCCAGAATTGTTTCTCAAAAGTTGATAGATTCTTGGAAAGTGCTACTTTAAGCGAAACGACTTATAACAAAACCAGTTTTACCATAGGCTAATTGATATAAACAAAAGTTAAGTTCCTATGGCATAATTCTGATCACAAAAACATCACCAGACTTCTAAATAAAGAATCAAAACACATCTGATATTAAACACAGAAGTAAATGTGAGCTATACATACATTTAGAAAGATTAATGAAAACAAGTAAGATAATTATTTTCCACTTATTCTAGTTCAGAGTCATGAGTGGCTGGAGCCTATCCTAGCAGCTCAGGGAGCAAGGGTGGGAATTTATCCTGAACAAGATGCCCTTCCTTCTAAGACAGGGTGTGTGTGTGCGTGTGTGCACACACACTCACTCAGATTGAGGCACTGTAGGCATGCTAATTAATGTACACATCCGTGGGATGTGGGAGGAAACTGGAGTACCCAGAAAAAACACACACAGATATGGGAATAGTGTGCAGACACCACACAGACAGTGACCTCAGCCGGGAATCTTTTTTTTTCCCCCTCATCAACATAATTATGAAATGACGTTGAATGAAATGATGTTATTTGAGGATGTAATGTAATTTTTAGAAGAAGGCATAGAAGTCTACACTGTTGTTGTCATATCAGTGCTTGTGAGAAGCTCCATAGAGCATGCCAATTTATTGTAGATACTAAAGTTATTGAATATGCTGGACTATAAAGCCCAGTGGTACAGTGACTTATACTGCAATCTAAACTTGCTGGCAACCTTGAGGACACCTTGAAGATGGGTCAAAGTAGCATACTCACACTCGATATATGTTACCTCCAAAATCCCCCCCCAAAGAAACAACAACAAAAAAACCCAGGTATTATGCCTCTCTTTGTTGTGATAGTGCCTAATCAACTTGTACTTCACCTTGAAGAAAATATCCTGCATGCCTCAAATTATGGAACTCCTAGAAACTTCACTGAGGGAGCAAGGCCTTGAATTTTCATGGGGTTTATTTCCTAAACTCTAGTTGGCATATATTTTACCAAAGCATCCAAATACACCTGTTATTTTATAGTGAAATTCTATATGTAATTTAAACCAGTAACATATATTTTACAATTTACTATAAACAAAGGAGATAAGTAATAAATCAAGCCTGAAATTTAAATGTCTTTCTTTTGAAATAAAGTTAGCCTTTTTCTAGAATTTAATTCACTTTTTAGTTGTCACAGTAAAATCTTGCTGTACCTCAAGAAAGCAAGGACTTCATTACATGTGATTTTTAAATAAAATTTAATGCATGTATTCATTTATTCAGCAAATAAGCATTGATTGTCATCTCTATAAGATACAGGCATTAAGACAAAAAAAAACAAAAAAAGATTGACTTAACATTGGATTGGGATGATGGCTTTGTTTAAAAAGGGCCTAAGTGTTGTGTGACATGGAAAGAAAACTTTCTTGGGGAGGCAGTTTTGGACATGGATTCCACAGATAAACAGGATTAGCCAGGCAGTGAAGGGGGAAACAGGCATTTCAGTCAGAATATGTCAAGCACTGAGGCATTAATTTGTTTAGAAAATGTTTATAGAGTGCTTGCTTGTGTCAGGCACTCTGCTAGTCATTAAGGTTGGGAAAGTCACCTTTAAATGGCATTGTTCATTTTTCAAGACATACTTTTAAAAATAATATTTTAGACAAAGTAATAAATTTGTACTAATCAAAAGAAACAGTGTAAGTTGTACTTTAAGAAGTATTCTCAATTAGTTTTCCCATTTTTGACCCAAGTAGAAACATTGTTTTATGATTTTAACTTTTTTAGTGAAATATATAGGGAAAGTGCAGATAACCTAAATGTATATGTTAATGAGTTACTGTAAATCATATATTTGCCTGATCACTACCAGATCAAGAAATTAAATATTGTCAGCACCTTAGAAGCAGCCTGCATGTCTTTTTTAAAGTAATTTTTTAATTTTCAATTAGAGTTGGCATACAATATTGTATCAATTTCAAGTGTACAACATAGTGATTAGACATTTATATGATTTATGAAGTGATCACTCCAATAAATCTAGTACCCATCTGACACCTTACATTGTTGTTGCAATATAATGAACTATATTCCTTATGCTATATTTTACATCCCCATGACTATTTTATAACTGCTGATTTGTACTGCTTAATCTCTTCTCCTTTTTCACTGAACCTCCAATTCCCCTCCTATCTGGTAACCATCAAAATGTTCTCTGTATCTATGGGTTTGTTTCTGTTTTGTTCATTTGATTCTTTAGATTCCACATATAAGTGAAATCATACGGCATTTGTCTTTCTCTGTCTCACTCAGCACAATACCCTCTAAGTCATCCATGTTGTTGCAGATGGCAAGATTTCATTCTTTTTTATGGCTGAATAATATTCCATTGTGTGTATGTGTTAACACCTCTTCTTTATCCATTCATCTGTTGATGTGTCGACAGCCACGTTGCCTCCATAATGTGTCTATTGTAAATAATGGCACAGTGAACATATGGATTCCCATGTCCCTTTGAAGTAGTGATTTGGGTTTCTTTGGATAATACTCAGAAGTGGGATAACTGGATCCTTCTTTGTCTTTTGCTTTAAAGTCCTTTTTGTCTGATATAAGTATTACTACTCCAGCTTTTTTTGTTTCCATTTTCATGAAATATCATTTTCCATCTCTTTACTCTCAGTCTGTGTGTTTTTCGATCTGAAGTGAATCTCTTTTAGGTACCACATGTAAGGCTCTTCTTGTTTTCTTATCCATTTATCTACCCTGTCTTTTGACTGGAGCATTTAATCCATTTACATCTAAAGTAATTATTAATAGGTATGTAGTTATTACCATTTTTTATTCATATTTTTGTTCTTTTTTCTTAAGTCCTTTTAATATTTCTTATAATACTGGCTTGGTGGTGATAACCTTTAGCTTTTTCTTGTT